GAAAAGTGGGAAACAATGGAACAAAAATAGAAATTTGGGCAAAATGTTCATTTTAACCGCGTTAATTCTTCCAATTAACAAGAGAGGTAAGCTTTTCCATTTTAGGAGGTCAGATTTAATTTTAGACATTAAAGGTGAGAAATTAGCAGAAAAAAGAGAGTTTAACGTTCTGGTTGCCCTGATCCCAAGATACCTAAAGCCAGAAAGACTCATTTTAAAAGGGACATCTGACTGTGTGAGCTGTGATGCTGAAGCATTGATAGGATAGCATTCACTTTTAGAAATATTCACTTTATAGCCTGAGAATGATCCAAATCTCTGGAAAGCAGATACAATTGTGGGAATGGAAAGGACAAGATCTGAGACATACAACAATAAGTCATCAGCATAAAGTGACAACTTAAATTCTGTGCCCAAATCGTGAGATCCCAGTAAAAGTGGAGGAGGACCTCAGAAAGATTGACAGGGGCTCTATAGCTAGTGCGAACAATAGAGGAGATAGGGGACACCCCTGTCTGGTGCCACGGGTTAGAGTAAAAATATTGGACTGAATGCCATTAGTGGAAATGTTTGCTTGTGGAGATGTGTAAAGGAGACGTATCCACGAAATGAACCCATCACCCAGTCCAAACTTCTTTAGTACAGTAAATAAATAGTCCCATTCAACCCTATTGAATGCTCTTTCAGCATCGACCGAGATTACTACTTCGGGTGTTGTTGTGGCAGTTTTAGAGTAAATAATATTTAGGAGTGTTCTGACATTAAAGAATAACTGCTGCCCCTTAACAAATCCAGTTTGCTCACGTGAGGCAATAGTTGGTACAATGTTCTCCAGGCGATAGGCCAAAGCTTTAGCAAGGATCTTAGCATCTACATTTATTCATGAAAGAGGTCTGTATGAGCCGCAGAGATTCGGATCCTTATCTTTTTTTAAGAGGAGACTTACGGAGGCTTGCCTTAAAGTGGGAGGGAGAGTGCCATGTTCCAGTGATTCCTTATAAACAGCATACAGTAAAGGGGACAATTTATCATGCAATCTCTTAAAAAATTCCAATGGAAATCCATCAGGGCCAGGAGCTTTCTGCATACCTCTCACAGCGAGAGTGATTTCTTCTACCGTTAATGGTGAGTCAAGTTTTTTAGTAGCATCTGAGCTCATCACAGGAAAGTTGAGGCTATCTAGGATTTAATTCAATTCAGTCGTGTCAGGTGGAGATTCAGTCTTATATAAAGAGGAATAGAATGAGTGAAAGACAGAATTAATGGTGGCGGGATCCTTATGCAATGAGCCAGATGAATCTTTTATCTGAGGGATCATACGTGAGGCTGCCTGGCGACTTGCCTTGTCACCATGTTCATAATATGTGGAGCGTGATTGTAAAAGAAGTCGCTCTGCATCACTAGTGGTGATGAGATCAAATTCAGTCTGTAAATCAACACGCTGTTTAAGTAAACTGGGAGAGGGGCAAGTAGCGAGTTGTTGGTCCAATTTGGTGATATTGATAGAGAGTTCTTGCAATTTGGCTTTACGGGACTTATTCAAGTGGGCAGAGTAGGAAATAATTTGTCCCCGCAAGTATGCTTTAAATGATTCCCACAGCAGGGAACATGAAACTGGTTCCATATAATTTTGATTTAAAGAGATATAATCTTCAATTTTAGTTGTAATAAATTTGGTGAACTTATCATCTGAGAGAAGTAATGTATTGAACCTCCAAGGTGTTGAGTACCGGGGTTGTGAAGAGAACTGAATATCTAAAGAAAGAGGGATGTGGTCAGAAATAACAATAGGATGATAATTAACAGACAGTACTTTGGGTTTAGCATCAATAAAATAATAATCAAGATTAATCCATCTGAGAAAATAAGGAATATTCCTTGGCACGAGGGTTATAAATCTCCAAGGATCAGTGCAACCGTTCTTGGACACAAAATCTGAAAATGACCTCGGCATTGAAGAAGGGGTCAGAGTTCGTGGGTTGGAGCGGTCTAGGCTGTTGTTTAATGAGGGAAGACATTCAAATAGCTTATTCATAAAGTGTGGATCATCGAAATTGGCGGCATATATGTCAACTAAAACTGTAACAATTAAGTATCTGCCGTTTTTGTCTGATATCGTCTTAGAAGCTGAAAACTGAATTGACTTACCAATTAAAATAGCAACCCCCCTGGCCTTAGAGTTGAAATTAGAGTGAAACACCTCAGAAGCCCAGGGACATTTAAGTCTGACCTGATCTTTAGTGCGCATGTGGGTTTCCTGCAGAAACACTAAGTCCGCTTTAAGACGTTTCAAATGAGCAAATATCCTTGATCTCTTAATTAGAATCCCCATCCCTTTAATATTCCAGCTCAAGAATCTCACAGAGGACCCAGTAAGTGGGACAACAGAAGTATTAGTATTGGTGGAATGCAGATCCCCAAGGAAGGAAGAAGAAGGAAAAAATAAAATAAAAAAACACCCCCCAATTGCACTTACAATGACCCCATCCCCAAACAATGGAGAACCCAGTGCTAACTCCACAAGGAGTCAGATCTCTAAAACGAACACTTACGGCTTTTTGCATAACTATCAAGCTTCGGGATGAGCTCCTGCAAGCCTAGCAACATTTGACAGAAAGGTACAACCAATCAAGACCAAGTTAAACTGAAAACCACATACTGTGTGTTTATGAAAATAAGAGGAAACAGATTAACTGAAAAAAGTAATAAATGTCAATATTAACTGTCACTGTTTCCTCAATGGTGTGTATCACTTCTCGGTTCTCTTATGTGTTGAGCGACCTGATGAATGCACTGGCCTCTTCTGCTGATTTAAACTCCTTCTCCGCACCGTTGTGAGTGATCTGGAGGCGCGCCGGGTAGAGCAGACCATAGCGGATCCCCGGTATTTCGTGTAGCCGGCGTCGGACATCATTAAAGGCGGCTCGGACACGAGCTGTCTTAGGGGTATGGTTGGGAAAGACAGAGAAACTCAACTCTCCAATCTTGATCCGTTGCTGGGCCCTGGCTCAGCGCAATATGTCCACGCAGTCTGTATGATAGTGTAGACGGGCGATTATGGGGCGAGGGCGCTCTACGGGCTTCGGCTTCGGCTGGAGAGTACGATGAGCGCGGCCCACGAGAGGCTCCTTCTCCAGCTTAAAAGCCTCCTTGAGCAGAGAGGAAATATCCGTAGCAGTAGAAGAGGTGGAAAAATCTTCGGGAATTCCCACTAACCGTATGTTATTGCGCCGTGATCTCGCCTCCAAATCCTCGCATTTATTGTACAGTCTTATCAGTTCAGTTGTCAGATGCTCCACTTTAGCCTGTAAGGCAGTAATGTCATCGGCGCAGGAGGAAAGTGATGTTTCCATTTCACCTACGGTGTTCACATCAGACTGGATGTTTGTAATGCTGCTAGATAACTCCGACTTCACTGCCTGTAGCTCAGTCTTGGTGCTTGACAAGTTCTTGGTCAAGGCAGGCTGAAGCTCAGTTTTGAAAATAGCCGCCATCTCAACACGGAGTGACGAGAGCAGCTCGGCCTTAAAGTCGTGTGAAGGAGTGCCACCGGCGGCTTCGACCAGGCGGGAGGGGGGGGTCACTACAAGGCGGGGATGCGGTGTGCGAAGCAGGCCGCATCGGTTGTACAGGTGGTTTGGTTTTTGAGGCATTTTGGTCGGCAGAAAAACGGCGTTAAATTCACATTATGAAGGTGGGGAAAACACACACCGAAGAAAGATGCAAAAGGTGTACCTAAAATAGATTTTTTTAAAGTTGTTGCAGGAGCTCAGAGAAACACGTCCTACTCCATTATTCGCTACACCGGAAGTCCAACACCACTCATTCTTACCACTCAACAGGTCTCTTATTGGGCCCGTGTATGTTGCAAGATCGGGTAAAAACTTGACTATGTAGTTGGCCATCCCCATCAATCCCAAATGGCAGGCGATTGAATGCATATCGCCAGAATGGTGTAATGAATGCCGTCAGCAGCTTGCTCTCCTCTGACAGGGGGATCTGCCAGAAACCAGAGGTTGCATCCAGCTTTGTAAACACCTTTGCTCCCACCAACATGGCGAGTGTGTCATCTACTGCTKGGAGGATGTGTCTCTCTCTTCTAACCCACTTATTCAAGGGTGTTAGATCCACACACAGCCGTATTGGTATCTTTGCTCTGGGCTTGGGAACCACAACCATGCCAGCACACCATGGTGTGGGTTGTGTCACTTTTGAAATCACCCCCTAATTTCTCCATGCGCTCCAGCTCTGTTCGCACTGAATCCCGCAGGGGAAGAGGTACCCGGCGTGGAGATGATAGAGTGTGTGGAACAGCGTCTGGCAAAAGCTCAATCTTGTAGGGCTCCTTTAATTTCCCCAAGCCTGAGAACACTGTGGGGAATTGTGCTTTAACCCCCTCCTGCTGAGTTTCAACTGTATGTATCTTTTTATGAGTCCTAGAGATTCGATTGCAGGTAGGCCTAGCAGGGGCTTACCCAACTCTTTAACAACATAAATCTGTTGTTCTGTTGTTCTCTTTCTGATACACAGTTTCCCTTTAAAACAGCCTTTCACCTCCAACTTGTATCTCGCTGGTCCATACAGCGCCTTACGTGGTGCCTGCAGGGTCCCGTGCTTCTCAGTTGTATACATGCTGCTTGGGATCGCTGTCACTTCTGCCTCAGTGTCTAGCTTAAACACCGCCTCCTCTCCATTCAGCTGTACTCGTCAATCCATTCATTGGCTTTTGCTGAACGTATCTCTCCTAAGAAGGCAAAACCTTCCTCATCCGGACTCTCTTCATGTGCTTGTGTGATATAGGTTTTGTACTCTACCTTCAATAAATGGAATGGTCATTTTAAAAGCATTCTGTGCTTACTGTAACTGTCTACATAAAATGAGTTAAATTATCTCTACAACATTTAGTAGCTGTCAACAAATAAATCTCTCATCTGAAATAGTATTCTTAAACCAAATTTTTAAAACTTGTGTTGCTTAAAACCTTTATATGGTTTTTGCAGGCTTGCCTTGGAGTGGAATGCGTTGGGGGTGTGGGATGAGGCCTTCTCACCCTTTTGTCAGGGTTTGGCCTCCAACAGTGTGCTGACGCAGCTGGACCTGCGGAACAATCAGATCAACCACCACGGAGCATCTGAGCTTGCTCTGGCACTCAAACACAACACCACGCTGGAAGTGTTAGGTGATTTACGATGACATCAAACATGACCCCTTTCACTTTGTCTATACTTTATACTCAATTTTGTTTTTTCATTTTTAAAATTGGTGCCACAGACATATAAAGCTAATTTGTATACAAATACATAAATTAGAAAGCAATGTATGAAATCTTGTGAACTTTGTACATTGCCACAGTAATTATGTTTGTCAGCAAAATTTTAGCTTGTTATCTAGACTTTTCTCATCCTGGTAAAAACAGCCAGGTTTTCAGTTAAAAAAGACATTTCTCAATTTAAGTTACTAAACAGGGCGGCACAGTGGTACGGTGATTACCATTGTTGCCTCTGGTTTGAATCTGCTGGCTGTCTCAGGCATTTCTTTGGAGTTTGCATGTTCTCCCTGTGTGGCTTTAACACAGTCCAAAGAGCTCCAGGTTAGACTAGCTGGTGACTCTCAATTGCCCACGTGTTTGTCTGTCTTGTGTTGGGACCTGGTACCTGTGAACCATAGCTGGGCCTACATGTGTAGTCAAAAGCCTGACCGCATGTCTCCTTGGTTCTGGAGACAAAGGAGAGATTCCAGAACCCAGTCTCCCAGGGTGCTTCATCTTCACACATAGGTGGTAAAACTGCTCCTGGAGACAACTCTCAACMACTATTGGTCACTGTGTGCCCCATGACCCATGAGGTCACAAGGCCAATATTAGCCGAGTTTCCCCTCTGCTAGTTCTCTTTTCTCTTCTGCCTCTTCCCCTGCTGACCACTCCTGGAGGAGTAGGTTCTGGCCCTGCTCTCCCAGCCAGGGAGACTTCCTCCCTACACAAGCTCCTCAACTTCCAGCAGGCCTGCCTGGAGCAGACTGCTAAAACCTTCCAAAGACAGCGACGCAAGAGCCTGCCTAAGAACTTCAGCACAACTGGCCACGACACAAGGTCTGACCAGCAGATGCACAACAGGATCCACAAACCAACAAGACCACTTCACTGGACTTCAAACAACACATCCAAAAAGGACCTTTCCCTCTTTTTCATGGATGGGTAACACAACTGGGCTTTATTATTATGCTAGGCTAAGCAAAGGACTGTTTAATCCTATTTCTGTTTCATGTGATGTTTATAAGTTTGACTTGTGTTGTTGTGATATTTGGTAATATGTTATTTGAAAGTTAATGTTAGTTCTGTTATGCGGATCACTTTCTTTGCATGCATCTAACTACTTTCTTTAACCTGGCACCAACACCTCACACACTCATCTCCACAAACTTAACACCTACATGTGATCTCAGCCACATGGTCTCACCACTCCAGGGGGCCTTTTGTCTTCAGTGGCCAGCCGCCATTTTGAATCTCAGTCACTCACTCACACACACACACGCATACTCGCATACACATCTGTATATAGTAAGTACACCTTTTGTTAGTTTGTGTGTTTATACTTTTATTATTCTCATAATAAATGTTTTTCTTCAAAACACGTCTTAGTTAATGTTGCATAAGTGTGAATTTTGCCAACCTCTACACTGTCAAGAACTCCATATCCTTCAACTTTGCTAGCTATTGATGTGGTAATTTTGGTTATAGTTATTTATTTAATTATTAATCAGAGTTCCAAATTTGTAGTCAGTAATTTCATGAGACTTATTCAATAAATTGGCTATCTTTTCCCTTCCTTTGAAGGGTGGTGCCCTGATTTATCTTTTATCAGTTTAATTATTATTTAATATTAATCTTATTTATCTGATAGCCACATTTATTGAATGCCCAAAAGCACACCATTTAATGGCGCCCCCGCGTGAAGGAAAGTACGTAATAGTACCCTGCGTGAGGGAAAGTACATAATCACAACATTTTTGGTGTTCCGTGTGAGGCAAAGTCATTAATAATAACATTATTTTGACGCCACGTGGAGCAGAGCACAACACTTGTCTAGTCTGACATTATTACTGTTTTGATGTACATGAATATTTATGACTGAATGGTGGTCCACTCTTATTTAAAGTTAGATCACTGTTACCTTGTGTTGACAGACCTGAGATGGAACAACATTGGTCTTCTGGGTGGCAGGATATTGCTAGAGGCTTTGCAAAAAAACAAGAGCATCGTGCAGCTGGAGCTGGCAGGGAACAATATTCCCAGTGACACACTCAAAGCACTCGGTAAGTCTTTTATTCAGATGCAGTAATAATTAGAGCTACATCTGTGATTGTAGCTGTAACATAATAGATTCACCCTAAATAAAAACTTCTCAATAGTGGTACAGTGATAAGTCCTACTACTACCATGTACGCTGCCGCCTCTGGACCCACATTTTCTGTCCTCATCCAATACCATTTTGCTCTTTTTGTTGTTTAACCTTTTCAGAGCAGACCATAGGGCACAACTTAGACAGACAGTCCACCCTGCGAGAGAACCACAGGAAGACCCAGGTCCTCAGCAAAGAGATCCAGACACTGAAGGACAAGAGGAGCCACCAAGTAACATTCACTCTTTAATTTGAGTAGTTTGGTCCAGTAGAATCTGGCTTATGTTCACATAAACCTTTTAATGAACCAGGGAAACATGAAATGGCATGGGCTTACAATGGCTATTTCATTGGACTGTTTTGAAGAGGTCATCCTGTATCATCAGCATGGACTCCCCTAAATTCCATGAACATGTAACTCTATACTTAACCTCATCCTCTCAGGTATCATAAAGAGCTTATCAAAAAAATTAAATTAATAGCAACAAAATTAATTAACTAATTAGACTATGAATTGAAAATATGTGCATGTGGTAATATTACAACAAAACAAGTCTGAACTGTGGTTTTACTCACCTTAAAAAGCAAGTAGTGTTATGATATTGCAAAAGCTGGACCCAGACACACTCGGACAACACAGACAACTTGGTTTCAGTGAAAACAAGAAGTGGTTGATTTTGTAACAAAAATAGCCAAAGGTGAAGTGTGGTCAGTGGTGGAGTGTGGGGCAGGCAGCTTAGCAGGCTTCAGCAAGTGGATGTGAACTGGAGAGAGCAGCCAAGCCCTGCAAAAAAAGGCACTGTTATTTGGTTCCTAAACTTAAAACTGTTTTGCTTTGAAACTTTGAAGATGATGATATGCATGCTGCGCAATACAAATATTTAGGTTTGGGTTGTGTACCACTTCAGTTCAGACTGGGTCAGACTGAAAATCACCCGCTGTCAATAGCAAATATAAATTTGGAAAAATGCTGCTATAATATATCAACCTTTTTGTCAATCCATGATGCCAGGATCCTCATGCAAGAGTTTATTATTATTAGGATATTGTAATGGATGTTTCTGGAAGCTGGTGAAGGTGGACTCAGGCAGCAGCTGATGTCTTATGCAGAAGATTTTAATGTAGACTTGAAGCATCAAGGAGACCACAAGGTGGAACAATATACAAACACTAACAGAGTAACATGAGCAATTGTCACCCCCAAGTCTGAA